AATCATTTACTTGCTTTAACCTATGTGTATGCATAAAAGTTTCAGAATAATTATACCAACATGAATACTAAAAATATTTTAAGATTTCTATACTATATTTGTCCTATGGTGTATACCACTATGGATGTACAGTCAGATTATTGAAATTAAATTAAATTTAGAAAACCTTGAGGGGCACCTGGGTGGCTCAGTTGGTTGAAGGTCTGACCTGGCTCAGGTCGTGATCTTGCAGTTCATGATTTTGAGCCCCACATTAGGCTCTCTGCTGTCTGCCTCTCAGCGCAGAGCCTGCTTTGGATCCTCTGCCCCCCTCTTTCTGCCTCTCCCCTGCTTGCACTCTCTCGAAAGTAAATAAACAAATGAAAAAAAACCTTGGAATAATTTATCTCTCTGAAGTTACTGACCAACTTGATATACAGTAAGGTTACATTTTTAAGGATTGTCTTTTTTAAATTTAATTTTGTTTCATAATTATGTAAAATATTTACACAGTTCCAAGTCCAGCTTCCAACACTGTGCCCTATATCCTGTTCCCTCTCTCCCCATATAGGGAGGCACTTTTTTCATTTTTGGTTTATCCTTTTGCCATTTCTTTTTCTTTACATAAGCATGTGTGTACATGCGTGTGTGTGTGTTCGTATGTGTGTGTATATGCATTTATATGATGTATGTACACACACACATATTTTCCCTTTACTTAAATAATATATCCTAGAAATCACTCCATTGCATATATATATATATATATATATATATATATATAGAGAGAGAGAGAGAGAGAGAGAGAGAGAGAGAGAGAGGAGAGGGAGAGAGAGGAGAGGGAGAGAGAGGAGAGGGAGAGAGACCGTAGTTTATTTGGCCAATCTTCTATTGATGGCTGTTTGGATTGTTTCCAGTTATGCAAGTGTTTTTAATTTTTGTCTGTTTCTCTTTGGAGAGATTTCTAGAAGAGGGATTGCTGGGGCAAAGGGTAAATGCCTGTACAGTTTTGCTACATCTTGTCAAATTCTCCTCCAAAAGGGTTCCCCTTCATTTTGCATCGCCCACCTCTCCTCACCCACTTCCCCACAGACTCATTAATAGAGGATGCAGGCAATTTTTGGATTATAGATCACATGAACATGCATAAAGGAAATGCTTTAATGTATTTTAAGTTTATGTATTTATAAATACACATAAATGTGTATATGTTTACATCTATAAATAAATGTATACATTTACATATATAAATAAATTATAAATGTGTAATTTATATTAATCATAAATGTACATAGATATGTGTAAATATACCTTTGATCTGGTGAATGTGTTCTGGGTAGGAGTAAATGAATGGCTGTTAAATAGATGCTGGTCTGACATAGGAAACTTGGAAATAATGATGTTCAGTATCTGCCTTTCTTTATGTTGCTTTAGATGTGTGAGGCAGTGCTGTACAAAGCCCTGGAATTGGTGTAAGGAACCCCAGCTTGCGCCTCTGTTCTAACCCTTAATAGCTGCATTATGCCCACTTATCTCTTCTGATCCTGCCTCCTCATTGGCAAAATCCCAGAGTAGTAGTGAGGGACACATGACAGAAGGGATGTTTGTGATTGGCAAGGGGCTGTCTGCATGCCAGGGAGCCTAGCTACAGAAGGTAAGGTGAGAACTCTTTCTTCCCTGCCCCCTGCTGGCTGCTGTGGGATGGACACAGCCAAGGAAACCAACCCCGTCCTCTGGCCTCTGTGTCCTGGGACATCTTAGCTTGCCCTCTGAGCTCAAGCATTGGACCTGATCTGGAGATGCTTCCCTTTTCCTCTCTCCCGAAAGCCCCCAACAGGAGCCCCTTCTTTTACGATGTGTGTTGGTTTAATGATCAGACTTTGAGGCATGAGTGGGCCTCACGAAGGGCTCTCTTTCACCAGCACAGAGCGAATGCAAAGCGAGGAGGACAGAATGGGAAGTCTGGCATCAAGGGTGATAACAGGGTCCTGTAGAAAAGTGCCCGCAGAATGATCGGGAAGTGGATGACACACCCCCTGAGACCGGCTTATGCACGTGTGTCATGAAGGCAGACCCTGGCATTCTATTGCTGGGGCTTTCCAGAAGAGCCAAAGAGATGAAAAATAAGCCACCCGAAGAAAATGTCCATTAAAGTCTTAGTGCCAGCTTAGCTAAAACTAGGTCCTTGGAACGTTTTACTACTATACTTGCCATGAGCTCAAGCCTGCTGTTAGAGATCTGAAGTTCCATAAATATTTGGACCAAGCCAGGAGCTCTGATTTAGGCCCTTCAAAGAAGATATCTAACTAAAAATAGAAAGCAGAGGCAGAAAAAAACCCAAGTATTTTGAAGAGGTCAGCAAATCTATTAAATGGCATGTCAAGCTATGCTGTGGTCTCTGGTTTCATGGGAACACACTCATGGGAGCACGTTCGGTTAGTGTCTCGAGAGCGAATGCCCATGCATACTTTATGACTGTAGGCTTCCTCCTGGGCTGGATGGCAGAAGGCTGGACTTTAAGGCTGTGTTCTCTGGTGCATCCATTTCAAAGGAGGAGTCTCTTGTCTCACCCACAGCCTTGGCTTTTCGTAAACACAAGGGGCAAGAAATTCCTTCCTGATCTTTTTGCCTCCTCTAGTAGTGTCCCCGTATCATCCACTTACTGCAGAGTAGAAAACACATTCTCGTTTTGCTTTTCTACTTTCCTGTCCTTTTTTTTTTCTTTCAAATTAATCACCAAGTACTGCTGATTTGACATTATAAACTTTCCTTGATTTTTGTCACTTCCTCTTTACAGACACCACCACTATGTGAGTTGGGGTCTTCTCCCTTCCTCTCACCTGTTCTGTTGTAGCCCTGTCTCTTTGGCCCTGAACTTTCACCCCAAGCAGACCCCTGCTCCACTGTCAGTGGGGTCTTTCTAAGTCACCGTTGGCAAAGACAGCTGTGTCCAGTCATTGATTAAGATTGTTTAGGGGCACCTGGATGGCTCAGTCGGTTAAGTGTCTGACTCTTGATTTCAGCTCAAGTCATGAAATCATGGTTTGTGGGTTCGAGCCCTGCACTGCGCTCTGTGCTGACAGTGCAGAGCCTGCTTGGGATATTCTCTGTCTTTCTCTGTCTCTCTCTGTCTTTCTCTGCCTCAAAATAGATAAACATTAAAAAAATAAAAAATAAATAATAAAAAAAGATTGTTTAGTGGTCTTGCTTACAGGTAAAGTCCAGACTCTGTAGACTGATATACAAGATTCTTCCCAATCTTGCTTATGCCCAACCCTTGGTGCCAACTGTTGGGAATGCCCATTCCCCTTGTTTGGTCAACTCTGCTTGAACTGTTAATGTTTGAGCCAAATGTAACCAATGACAAGGGTCATTGCTCTTTTCTCAATAAGCCCAGAGATGCTTGACTCATTTCTGTTATAGCATTTCCCACATTGCATTATTGGATTATAATAAGGAAGAAAGTGGATGGAGGAGAGGGTGTATATAGTGGGAGTAGCATGGATTTGCATTAATCCAACCTGGTTTTAAATTCTGGCTCTACCATTTACCTATACTGTGATCTTTGACTCAACCTCTCTGAGCATCCATTTTTCTGTACACATTCTGTAAAGTGTTGGCAGGATTAAATGGCATCGTGTCTATCGAAGCATCTAATAGTACCCTGTAGGAATTTAGTATATGATAGTCTCCTACCTTTCTTTTTTCTGCACCATTTGCTCTGAGGAAGTATCATTGTATTGGGTGATAGTCAAAATCTATTCCTTTCTCCCTGAGAAATGGATCTGGTACATCGTAATTAGTGTCAGAACTAGAAACAGGCAGTATGTGCTGGGCCAGTATAGACTGGGTATCTATGGGGCAATTGCGAGTGTGTGGGGAACTGTCTGCGAGGGGAGGGAGCAGGAGAGAGAGGAGAGTGTTTGTATGAGGAAACTGATAGTGCAATTAACTTATAGAGGTTTCCCCAAGTCACTGTCTTCTCTGTGGATGTACCTGAAACACTATCCCATGAAGTGTAACTATATCTTTAAGATGTAGGGTACTTAAGGACAGGGAGATAATTATATGCTCTTGATTGTCCACATCCAAACGTAGGAATGGGGCTTTCTCTTAAAGGAGTGAAACATGGGAGCAGAAGGGGAAAGCTACATCTTTTATAAGAGCTGAGCTGAGCCCCTAATCATGTGTGGGTTGGGGGCGAGGGTCAGAGCAGAGAAGAGAACTGTTTGTGAGGGTGCATGACTGAGACCTGGGCACAGGGAGAGGTGAGCTACAAGTCAGGCAGCAACCAGCCTGTCACGTTTGAACTGAGCATTGCCAAATGCGGGAGCCTCATGGTTGAGACTGGGGATGCTTGTGTTGTGTAAGTGATCCACAAGGCGTTGCTTTTTGGGGGCCTGGAGGTAAATTTTGTATGCTTAAAAAAAATAAAGAACTAGGAATGAAGGTTCATCAAACTTAGATGGCAGTCTTCTTTTTCCTAAAAAATGGATCCATCAACCCCAGTTTTTGGAGAACAATCTGTTTTGCGTTCATTTTCTTCCGGTTAAAATGCATAATGCTTTTTCCTTCTTATTCCATTTCCTGCTTTGCTCTTCACGTAGCCCATCATCCTGGAAAGGGCAGATTAAAAATAAGCTTGGCAAGGCACAACGGGGCAGTGCTAATGCCGTCTTGTGCTCCTTCCAGGTGCAGCGTGAACTTCCTCATCTCCCTTCCCATCCAGCTCCCTGCCTCCTGTATCCACCATGGTGTTTGGTGAGTTTTTCCATCGCCCTGGACAAGACGAGGAACTTGTCAACTTGAACGTGGGGGGCTTTAAGCAGTCCGTCGACCAAAGCACCCTCCTGCGGTTTCCTCACACCAGACTCGGAAAACTGCTCACCTGCCACTCGGAAGAGGCCATCCTGGAGCTGTGCGATGACTACAGTGTGGCCGATAAGGAGTACTACTTTGATCGGAACCCCTCCTTGTTCAGATACGTTTTGAATTTTTATTACACGGGGAAGCTGCATGTCATGGAGGAGCTGTGCGTATTCTCATTCTGCCAGGAGATCGAGTACTGGGGCATCAACGAGCTCTTCATCGATTCCTGCTGCAGTAATCGCTACCAGGAACGCAAGGAGGATAACCACGAGAAGGACTGGGACCAGAAGAGCAATGACGTGAGTACCGACACCTCCTTTGAAGAGTCGTCCCTGTTTGAGAAGGAGCTGGAGAAGTTTGACAAGCTGCGATTTGGTCAGCTCCGGAAGAAGATCTGGATTCGCATGGAAAACCCAGCCTACTGCCTGTCTGCCAAGCTCATTGCCATCTCGTCCTTGAGCGTGGTGCTGGCCTCCATTGTGGCCATGTGTGTGCACAGCATGTCAGAGTTCCAGAACGAGGACGGAGAGGTGGATGACCCCGTGCTGGAAGGTGTGGAGATCGCGTGCATTGCTTGGTTCACTGGCGAGCTTGCCATCCGGCTGGTCGCTGCTCCCTGTCAAAAGAAATTCTGGAAAAACCCTCTGAACATAATTGACTTCGTCTCCATTATCCCCTTCTATGCCACCTTGGCTGTAGACACCAAGGAGGAAGAGAGTGAGGACATTGAAAACATGGGCAAGGTGGTCCAGATCCTCAGGCTTATGAGGATTTTCCGAATCCTCAAGCTTGCCCGGCACTCAGTGGGACTTCGGTCTCTAGGTGCCACCCTGAGACACAGCTATCATGAAGTTGGGCTCCTGCTTCTCTTTCTCTCTGTGGGCATTTCCATCTTTTCTGTGCTTATCTACTCTGTGGAGAAAGACGAGCAGACATCCAGCCTCACCAGCATCCCCATCTGCTGGTGGTGGGCCACCATCAGCATGACCACTGTGGGCTATGGAGACACACACCCAGTCACCTTGGCCGGGAAGCTTATCGCCAGCACGTGCATCATCTGTGGCATCTTGGTGGTGGCCCTCCCTATCACCATTATCTTCAACAAGTTTTCCAAGTACTACCAGAAGCAGAAGGACATTGATGTGGACCAGTGCAGTGAGGACCCACCAGAGAAGTGTCACGAGCTACCTTACTTTAACATTAGGGACATTTATGCCCAGCGGATGCACGCCTTCATTACCAGTCTGTCTTCTGTGGGAATTGTGGTGAGCGATCCCGATTCTACAGATGCTTCAAGCATTGAAGACAATGAGGATGTTTATAACACAGCATCCTTGGAGAATTGCACAGCAAAATGAGCAGGGACATTTGTGCCTGTATCTTGTGTCCCTTCCTGACGTTAGGTTAACACAGCTTTATAAACCTCAATGGGTTCGTTAAAATAATTTAATTCTCAGGGTGTACCTTTCAGCCATAGTTGGACATTCATTGCTCCAAAATGATAGAATCTTCTTTATTTTTCTCAGTAAAGTGAATTAAATGCCTTGTTCTGAAATTTATTTTTTACAAGAGAGAGTTGTGATATGATTTTGGAAAAAAAAAAGGTAAATGGGACTGGGTGGGATTTATTGCTACGGCTTATGTATCATTCTGTGTTTGTCATCTACTCACATTGAGCTAACTGTAAATTACTGACAAGTAGAATCAAAGGCCCGGCTGACTGAAGACTCCATGCATGTAAGATCCACAAAATGAGACAATGCATGTAAATCCATGTTCACGTTCTAGACATGGAAATTAGGAGCCTAATAAACTTGCCTAATTCAGTGTGGAGAATGTCTTGGTTGTACGTTTTTACGTCAAGTAAGTATATTTCAGGATGTTCAAACTTGGTCTGGAAGGGAACTGCTCTTTTTGGAGCATCAAGAGCCCTTTCTGTTAGTTTCTGAATTTTGGATACACATCTACCATGGGCTAGTTCTTCTGTTCAGTAGACTGGTGGTGGTGGTGGGCGGCAGGCAGAAGGATCATGTCCGTGATGAAACCATGCCGTCCAGGGTATATTGATCACACGTGTACAGGTTTGGGACATACTCAAGTTGCCATATGTGAATGAAGCATGTGCCCTTACAGATATGTTTCTACTGTGTATTTTGTGTTTTATAATTTCTCCTGTTAAGATAAAACCTCATCACCTGAAAAGTATGCAGAGCAGAGTAAATCTCCACATTCACAGGCAGAGATAGACTCCATGAGTGGAAGGAAGGAGAAATGGTGTCCAAACACACAGATATGATTCACTATGGCCAGAGGAGTGAAACTGTAATCACTGGGAAAAGCTACGCCAGGAGCTATAAAATAAGCCACCACTTAAAAATAGCCTTCGAGACAGTAATGTCTGCATCTTATGTAAAAGCCCCTCATGATGAAAGAAGACATACATATTCATTTCCAGAACAACTCCATCCCATGTGGAGAGAATGTAGTGAAAAATCTTAATTTTGGAGATGTATATGACTCTAACTCATGCTGTCAGACTGAGTCCTTTCCCCGAGATCTTTTTGAATGGAAAAGCCGCCTGGATTTATTACCCTACTTCCTATGTCTGTAGATGCATTTCATTGAAAGAAGGACATTGCCTGTGGGTTATCTGATGAAGATAACTCTGACTCATCTCTCCTCTTAACGTTTCCGTGACTTCTGAGACGGATATAACTGAACAGAGTTTACAGTCACTTTTAAATCTGGAGGTTTATTCATTCATGTGTGTCATCCCCTGCCCATTTGAAAAATCTTTCTTTTCCCCCAAACGCCTTTTTGATGTTGGCGTAAATATAGTTTTGAAGCATAGCAATAGAATTTGGGATCCAGTTTTATTAAAGATTTCCCAATTAGTAGTGAAGTAGCTGAAGACTGCTTGTATAGTAATAGTAATAGTAATAGTAATAGTAATAGTAATAGTAATAGTAACAGTAACAGTAACAGTAACAGTAACAACAATAGTACTAGTAATCATAGTACTAGTAATAATAGTAATACCAGCAACAATAGTAATAGTAATAATAGTAACAGCAATGGCACTGGTAATGGTAATGGTAATGGTAATAATAGCAACAGCAATAATGATAATTGGCTGCTATGTAAGTGCCCCGCCTGTATCATCTCACTGATTGCTTACAACATCACTATCGGCAAGGGTTTGTTCCTGTCTGCATTTTAAGATGAGGAAACTGAGGCTTGCAAGAAAAGTGCCAGTGCACACAGTGAATGATGGAGTCGTGCCGAGGACCCCAGGATCCAGGTTCCAGAGGCTGTGCTTTGAACACTACATCACACTGCCTCTGGCTCCACTGTGTTGGGGAGTAGATTTAAGGACACATCAGGGCAGAGTTCATCTGAACAGACAAAGAGCAACCAACTGTCGGACTCTGATCTTTCCAGGATGTGAGTCGAAAGGGGAAAATGCTGGCTATGTACCTGTCCTCTCCTGACCCACAAAGCAGGCACATTTGTTTACAGAGAAGAGTTTTCTAGAATTCCCTTGAAGCAGAGGCAGACTGTGAGGGTGCTTCCTGGGCACGAGTGAGTGGCAGGCACAAGAGTTCAGGAATGTCTCTCGGCAGGTGGGTACTGAAGGAGAGCTAGAATCCTGTACCTTCTACCTGAGCTTTTCTGGTTGGAGCAGAACAGGAGTTGTTTCTGCCTATAACTTGAATTAATTCCCTGATGGTGGCTTGCCAGGGCACTCTGCAGCGTGTGCCTGCCAGTGGTGGTAGTAGGCCTCCCTCTGGGCTCACTGGCTGGAAGCCTCTGCCCCGGAACCTTCTCACCTCTGTCCCCGCCACGCTCTTCAGTCAAAATTCCTGCCGGGTCACTGGGCCTCTAGTGACACAAAGCTGCAGTGCCTTTTTGGGTGTATGCCTCTCTTAGCTTTCCCACAGTCCGTGCAGGTCACCTGTTGTTCATCCCACGTGGTGAGATGGCGGGTTCCTTCTTGCCTAAGGGTTGAGCCAGCCGCTAAACGCCCACTGCACAGGTTTGCTGGCCTGTGAGTGGGGACTGAGGGGCGGAGGAGGAAGCCAGTCAACCCGATCGACCTACCTCTGGCACCGCCTGTTGTGGTGTGATCAGTTCTGGGCATTGGGGTCCCTTTGAGTGGGACCAGTCCACTTTGAGAGAGTTTGGTCTTTTAGTTCTTTCAAAATCCTTGTCCCTACCCTGTGACCTCCTCTTCCATGTCCTCAGATTTGTTTTACTGTCTCAGCTTGCCCAGGCTAACACTTGGCATTCCCTGAGTGCTTCCTGGGACAGGTGCTCAGGGTGGGCACTGGGAATAAAAGACAGAGATATGGTCCTTGCCCTCAGGGAGACTTTGGGCTACAGCTGACATGTATTTGTACGTGTGTGTATGTGTGTGAGAGAGAGAGGGCTTCCTGGAGGAGGTCATACCTGAGCTGTTTGGGAACTGTAGTCTGAGATCCTGGTGAGTTTGGTTCAGTTTTAAAGATAGAACCTTCACTGCCACTGGATGGATCCCAGCTGCAGACGGTGCTAATCTCTGCCTTTGGGGCCTCTCTTTCCCCACTCTGGCAACCACCACCCTTCTTTAGTTAAAGGATCTTCCACCTTTAGATGTGATGGTCTCCCCACCCCTTTTTTTCCTGTGGAAGTTTAACCATGCCTATGTTAGTCACAGTTGCTTTTGTATATGCCTGAGCTCATCCCCTTGTGTTGGTTTTATATTTAACTTAGAATTTGGGGGGGAATTTGTATTATCCCCATCTAGAGCAGGGCACAGTGCTGTGCATTGTCTTGGGGTTTATGTGCCCTGGTTAATATTGGAAAAACATTTTCTAGCATTCAGAAAAGGATGATTTGCACCATATGACATTGTCATTATTCTATCAGTTTTTTTTTTTCAACGTTTATTTATTTTTGGGACAGAGAGAGACAGAGCATGAACGGGGGAGGGGCAGAGAGAGAGGGAGACACAGAATCGGAAACAGGCTCCAGGCTCTGAGCCATCAGCCCAGAGCCTGACGCAGGGCTCGAACTCCCGGACCGCGAGATCGTGACCTGGCTGAAGTCGGACGCTTAACCGACTGCGCCACCCAGGCGCCCCTTCTATCAGTTTTTAAAAGTCTAGAATAACAGCAGCTTCCATATGATTCAATGCGATATTGGGGGTTTGCCTTATGTCAGCAAAAAGGTATTTCTCATGTTCTTAGGCAAATTTGTGACTGGTTGTCTCTGCATGTCTGCTTTAAGGAAGAAGTGGGCATCAGGAAGCTTGGGGATTGGGTATCAGCACTAGGGCTAACGAGCTGTGTGATCAGGAGGCCCAGCAGCCAGCCCTTCTCTGAGCTTCTTTTCTTCGGTTGGATTTAAGTGTAATAATCACCAGAATCCTTTCTGTCGCTGACATTTATGTAATCTACTTTGTTTCTGCAAACTAGCTAGTTCCCCTCTAACTTTGTTTACATTAGAAATTTACATAGCAAAATCAGATTTTAACCTGCCAATGAATTGGTCTTATTCTCTGTCAGTGGAGTCCTAACCAATGAGATCTTCTTGTTGAGGACACAGGGAATTGGCTTGCTCTAAAATTTAGGTTACAGGGGCACCTGGGTGGCTCAGTCGGTTGAGCGACTGACTTCAGCTCAGGTCATGATCTCACGGTTTGTGAGTTCGAGCCCTGCGTTGGGCTCTGCGCTGACAGCTTGGAGCCTGGAGCCTGCTTCTGATTCTGTGTCTCCCTCTCTCTCTGCCCCTCCTCCATTCATGCTCTGTCTCTCTCTGTCTCAGAAATAAATAAACATAAATTTTTTTGTAATTTAGGTTATTAAAGACATTTGCAGAGCCATTTCTTTCACTTTATCTGGTGACGAGGAGTAAAGGCCCCTGAAATTGCTGGAGGGTGATGTGGGTAAAAGTTCTCCTGAACATCAGTAGATCCATGAACTTGATTTGCTTGGAAGTCACCCAGTGGCTTAACCTTTGGTCGTTTTGGCATCTGACAGTCTGCCCTTCTCGGGAAGAATGCCAAAGCATTTAGGAACACAGGGGAATGGAGGGGTAAGCTGAGGAAGAATGCACACAGGAGGGCTAAGCCCTGCTTAAAGCCAGGAGTGTGACAGCTCAGAGGCACCTGGAAGGTCATCTGGCCCCCCTCCCCACTTAACAGATGAGAAAGAGGAGTGACTCACCGGAGGCCGTGCAGCTCGAGGCATAGAGAGAGACTAGATCCAGACAGGACCACAACCACAATGCATTGCTCCCTCCCTGCCTCCTTCCCTACCTACATTTTATTAGAAAAATTTCAAACATGTACAAAAGTTACGAGCATAGCATCATGGGA